CCCCAAAACCCCAAAACCCCAAAACCCCAAAACCCCAAAACCCCATATCAAGTGCTTATGATTGATAAATCTGATTTAAATTTTTGATGTTTAATTCTTATCCATACTGAATTACCAACTTAGAACAACTCATCATCTTCCTTTGGTCTTTTATAAGCTGGCAAGAAGGTAGAATTCATTTTGAGGGTATCTCTCTTCTCTGAGTCAATCTTTACTTGTGAGTCATCAGCTCTCCTTCTAGCTTCTGCATAAGTCATTCCGAATACGTTGTCTGCTTGTACTCTTCTGACAACACCGCTGTATCCTGGGATTGGGTTTCCTAGTTTTAGCTCTTTCTTTTCCTCAATTCCATAAAACTATAAGAGGGTGTGTTAGCGTTATTGGAGATAGAAGGCTTTGGGTTTCGCTTAGTCAAATCCCTAGCTGTGATTATTTCACAAAAATACTCTCTAAACAATGCTTACCTGCTTAGTCATCTCTTCAGGAGTCATACTGGTGTCTTTCTTAATATGAGTCAATGTATGGTTCTGCATTGATTTAGGATCAACTCCATAAAATATAGCTGAGTTCTTTTTCAGCTCTTGTTCTTTCACAATTTCGTCAATTGCATCATCTTGGATTCCAAAGAACTGGTAAGCAGATGCTGGGTCAAGAGGTTTCTCAAATACCTCATCCTCTCTAATAACTCCCACTGTCTCCGCTGCAGTTCTGCCTTTAACATGGGTTTGGTTCTGATGCTCTTGCATGGCTTGGCTCTTATACATCTCTTCAGGAGGAGCCTCAATTCCTTTTACGTAGTTCTTATTAGCTGAGTCTCTTGTGATATTTCCATAAGTCTTTCCAAACATGTTTTCTGACTGAGCGGCTGGAATATGTCCTCCATATCCTATATCATATTAGTACAATAATTCTTAAATATTCCTGACTTTTAGAAATTTTCTTTTAAATTATTCTTGTCAAGGAACTGAGGTTTACTAATTTTCCCGAAAATTGTCTAATTTCAATCATTTTCATTAAATTATTTACAATTTTTTACAAAAATCTACTCTTAAGAATGACAGGAGCAAGTCCCTCGTTCTCTACTCAGCCAATCGTCAAACTCAGACAGAGGACGAATACAATATTGGGGATTACTTCAGTTAGGTATGAACTAATGTACGTACCAGGAATTTTGCCATTGCCATCCTGTTGAAGGGTGGCTGGGTTATCATAATCGAGAACTCCATGTTTATGTCCTGTATAACCAGACATAGCATACAGTCTAGTTCCTCTGTCATCGAATGCTCCTTGGACGCCTGACATTTCTTTAATTTTATAATATTTATTTAAATTTTATTTCCTTCAAACTAATTTATATTCCTAGGGGTTTTGGGGTTTTGGGGTTTTGGGGTTTTGGGGTTTTGGGG